AACGGTTCAGATAGGAAGAAATATGCAATCAAGAAGCAGCTGTGGTAACACCACACCAATCGCCACCTGCTGCATATGCTGTGGCACTTGCTTGCACCCTAAACCCCTGAACCCTAAACCCAAGGGAGGATGCAAAATGTAGAACCCCAGATCAGGGGTTTCATGCTACTGACGTCATGAGGATCCCTAGGGGGTAGGGGGAGGGGACCTTAATACCTGTATTAAGGACTTCATAAGGCCTGTTTAAGGAAGTATAGCCTCCTACCCCCTCCCCCCACCCCCCCTAAGGGTCCCTATGACAACAAGGGATCTACTTTTCGGATCCTCCCGGGAGTGTGCGGAACCACGGGTCTACCCGCTGCACTGCCTCAAGTGGCCTCAACTGTAGTGTTCAGGGTTTACTTGAAGGGTCATGGGACTTAGTAACTAGGGTTATAATTTGTTGGTAACTATACTTATAAGTACTTATAGCCCTTAATAAGGTACTTATAACCCTACTGACTAAGTTGCATGAACCTCCACTTGGAGGGTCGGGGGAGTTAGTAAGTAGTTATTTTAGTGACTCATAAGTATCACGAAACCAATTAAGGCCCCTTTTAAGGTACTTATAAGGCATTATAAGTCTACTTACTACCTACTTACAAAGTCTCCCGAAAAAAACAAGCAAGTAGGGGTTTAGGGTGTGGGGTTTCCTTTTGTGGAATAGGCGGGAGAATCATCAATCAACAGCGCCCTCCAAGCAACTTTGGTACTGCCGTATATCAAGCCCTGATAGCGAAACCACAGTCCATGCTTCAGAAACCACAGAATTGTCGGGAGGATCTAGAAAGTGGATGCCCTAATTTGGTGCCCTATACTACTAAGGGTACTTTATAGGAACCCCCCCATTAAGGGATCTACTTTTTGGATCCTCCCGGGGGTCTGGGTGGTTGCAAAAAGGGTTAAAGTTTACCACACCAAGTTCTAAACCCGTAGCAGCCACACCCCTAAACTCGACACCCCGGACCCTACTAATTCGAACGCCAAACTTGATTCCCAAACATCCACCGTAAATGGTTTTTGTGCAGCGCCTGGCTGCATTGTCGATGGTCTGCATTCCAGCACTGGCGGTGCTGTAGCCATCCTTAGATGTCGTTGACCGTAGGATTTGATATAGGAACGTCGATAGTCGATAGCTAGCATAGGGCCCCACACCCCTAGGCTTTTGGGGTTGATCCCGGGGAGATTTTGCTTACTTGTTTTAAGCCCTCAGCCGTGCCCAGACATTATAGGAAGCCCTCTCCGGGACATGCACTTACATGTGCTTCTTTCAAGTTACACAATATTTTAGAAGCTGCCCCCACCCTGTAATAGTGGTATAATAGGAATATAATAGGGCCCTAATATAATCCTATATAATCCTTATAGTCACTACTACAGGGTGGGGGCAGCTTCTAAACTATATTGCAAAGGCTTTTCGAGACCCTAAACCTCACAAGTTATGTTGGGAATCCCTACTTGGAAGATCATGGGACTTAGTAATTAGGGTTATAAGTACCTTAAATGGGGTTATAAGTAATTATAAGTACAGTTACCTTAATTACAACCCTAGTTACTAAGTCCCATGATCCTTTAAGTATGCTTAGGTTCTCAGCCCTAACAAAAACCAGAAACCGACAGCCCGGTGCCCCGAACCCTAAAACCCCTAAGCCGTAAACCCTTAAAGCCCTAAAACCCTAAACCCAAAAAACACCCTAAACCCCTAAAACCATAAAGCCCTAAACCCAAAAAAACACAAAAACACCCTAAACCCAAAACACACTAAAACCCTAAACCCAAAAAGCCCTAAAACCCTAAACCCCAAACACCCTAACCCCAAGTTTGCTTCTGGCTTGGGTCTTTGGGGTTCTCGGACCTCGACAGGACTCGGAAGCACCTCATCTTGCGTGACTAGAGCCCCCTAAGCGGCATCCTCGGGTTCAGGGTTTTAAGGCTTGAGGGTTTTAGGGTTTAGGGTTTAAGGTTTAGGGTTTAGGGGTTTAGGGGTTTAGGGTTTAGGGGTTTAGGGTGTAGGGTTTACGGTTTCGGAGACATGATTACGGGACTCAGGATAGGCCTTCTCAAGAATAAATCTGGATCCTTCAAGGGGTCGTGGCCTTCGGGCAATACTTCCCATTATTCCCGAAGGACGTCGGGGTTGACTCGGAGCCAAACCCCTGCACAGGACCCTATCTTAAGCCATACAGCTGTAGGAACAGCTTTCAGGGTGTTCGTTGGATTAAATGTCATGGACTTTAGAAGGGCCCTGGGTAGGAACATGTACGTCTATGTATGTATGTATGCATGCATGTCTATGTATATATGTAAAAACAGAAACATATGTGGGGTACACTGCTTCACGCGTGGTTCAAGCCCTTACACATAATCTCAAATCTCTGCTTATTGGCATTTAGACCTGATAACGACGACACCGAGCAGACTGAAATGTTTGCGAAGTGGCCCCAGGCCCTGTGAATGAGTCCATCATCGGATCTCGCGCGAGCTCCATGGCAGTGGTGGCAGGGCGTAATATGAAAGCTTGAATAATTAATCACCCATAATCTTCCCTAGGCCTCCTTAACGACATTTTGCTATAATCTACCCTAAAAGCCTGTTGCAATTGTTTAAGCCCGCATCTTATGGGCAGCTCGCACCCGCGAGAAGTCAACAGCCTGAACCCTGGACCCAAAACCACTTCAAGCTTCCAACCGCGTGGTACCGAAGCCCATGAACCGCGTAAGAGATCCTCTCAAGGGCTATAGCCATGTAGAGTTCTGGAGGACGCCCGGCTATATCATGAGGTCCTAACAAATACCAACATCAGATGGTCACGATGTCTTGAAGATCCAGCACTCTAGTGTTGCGATGCTTCTAATTGTCGCGCGAGGCTTTTCGGCCTGACCGTTTTGTTGTTTCGCATCCTCTCATTCCACTGCGTGGCAGTGGCATACGACCATCGTCTTGAGCCCGGGAACATGGTTTTACAGGGTTGCGCATCTAGGCCTAAGAGTAACCTAGGAATAAAAAGGGTGCCCTTTTTGGTTTAAAGGGGCTTATAAGGGAACCTGAACCCTAAAACAGGGAATAAGGGCCTACTCTAGGTCCTAGGCATTCTCTTTCTCGCAAGCCCTGACCTTCAAGCTTCAACCCTTCCTAAACACTCAAGTTGCTCTAGTAAGACCTGCATTTCCAAACCTCAACCCTACATACTCATTATTGGACAATGCGGTGGATTTGGGGTTGTGCGCTGACGAAAATAAAAGCGCAGGCCCCCAACCCTCCACACGAGAAGTCCCGTAAGGCATGCCGACCACTAGCTGTAGCTTTTCAGCCCTCTGTATCGCTTGCCATGTAAAATCTGACAGTCTGAACACTACCCTAAACCCCCCTAAAGCCCAAACCCTTAAACCGCTGAGACCGGGAAACCCCGAAGATCCAAGCCACGACAAGTACGGGCCGTACTAGTCAGACTAGTGTCTGCAGGGGTTGTTTCAAAGGTTCTGCCCTCTAGACAATAGATCCCCTAATTTGGGGCCTTCTACTACTAAGGGTACTGTATAGGAACCCCCATTAAGGGATCTACTTTTTGGATCCTCCCGGGGTCTGGGCAAGGGTTGCTAAAGGATGCTGAAAGGTTTTGGGTATTTCATGCCATATTCATGGTGGAACTATAATGGGAGCTATTCAGTCCCCTACTACCACGCGACCTGCAACCTTGCCTCCTGACCCCCATCACACTTCTAGACTCTATACCATACGCACAGTGACCTCAATAGCTTTGTCACGGAACGTGATTAAAAGGACTTGTTCAGAGACCCAGGCTGTTTATGGGCATGTATATATATATATATATATCTAGTCCATGACACAGGATTTACAGAAACGGTTTGGGGTTCTGTTCAATAGGTAGACTCCGTAAGAATTGCGGCATTGTGGCACAGTCCAAGGAACAAGACACAGCGGTCTCTAAATCCAACTCAACCCTAAACCCTAAACCCTAAACCCCTAAACCCTAAAACCTAAACCCCTAAACCCCTAAACCCTAACCCCTAAACCCTAAACCCCTAAACCCCAAACCCCTAAACCCTAAACCCCTAAACCCCTAAACCCCTAAACCCTAAACCCTAAACTTCTCCGCAAGGCTCCTTTTACTCCCCACCAGACCTAGGATTCTGAGGGAACCCCAAACCTTAAAGGGAACTCCAGAAAGTTGGAGTATGGTTTCAGGGTAGGATACCCTATAGTTTACCATAAAGGGTTTAGGATAATCATATTCCAACTTTCTGGCTTTTACTGTAAGCAAACCTTAACTAGACCTAAGAGTAACCTAGGAATAAAAAGGGTGCCCTTTTTGGTTTCAAGGGGATTATAATGAACCCTAAAAAAGGGAATAAGGGCCTACTCTGGGTCCTAGTTAAGCCATAAACGCGAAACTCCAAACCCTCAACCTCCTAATTGCTAGACCCCCGGCAGGATCCAAAAACTTGATTCCTTAATGGGGGTTTCTGTAAAGTACCCTCAGTAGTATAGAGCCCCAAATTAGGGGATCTTCTTTCTAGATCCATGGTCTATGCCATAGTCATATACTCAAAGACTCCCGTATCCCTTAATTAAGGAATATCTAGGGTTCCTTTAAGGGTTCCTTTAAAGGGATCTATAGGGTTTCTAGATCCTCCAAAGAGGGTCTGGGCTGTTGATGGCAGCCACGACTTGGGGGTACAAGCACAGGGTTTAGGGCTTAGGGTTTCCGAATCAAGGGCCTGCATACTGAGGACAGGGCCTCCAAGCATATGAACCTAAAAATCTAGTGGTGAACCCTGATGGATATTAACCGTAACTATCGAAGCCCCTGCATTTTTTGGGATAGATCGCCGCGTTTAACGCCTAAACCCTAATACCTAAACCCCAAAACACTAAACACCAAAAAACCCTAAGCCCGAATGCCCCAAAACCCTAAAGTCCTAAATTCAAACGGGCTGCACCTGAACGGTTTGAGCGCAGCAAGGCGCTGTCCGGATCTGCCATGATGGCCTCCCATGGCTTGGAGGGTCGGAGGACTTAGGACGCAGGTAGTAAGCAGGCTTATAAGTACCCCAGAAGGGATCCGACTTGGGGCTATGATACTTATACCTACTTCCCCAACAAGCCACAGAAATAAAATGTTAAACTTGCCAAATACCAATTAACTATAACAGCTCAAAAAGTTTATATAAAGGTTGGGTATTGGGGAACTAAGTATATGTCCTTCAAATGCCTACCTACCAAGTGCCCCGACCCTCCAAGCAGACTGTCTTCTAAGGGTCAATGCACTCATGGGCTTTAGGGTTCAGGGGCCATACCTTTTGTTTTGGAGGGTCCTTGCAGTGTACCATAAGGGCTTAGGGAGAGCCAGGGATCAGTGTAAATGACCGATATCGCATATACTTTGCCCTCAAAGTACTCCCGATGTACGGACGTTAGAGCCAAAGTATAGAATGCAGGGGTTAGGGCTTCAGATTCCCCAGCCTCGACCGAGGAACACGAGTCAAGCATTTGTAGAAGCTCTTCTAACTTGAAGGTTGCTCAACAAGTGTTGGAGTCTCAAGGAGAGGTTGAGCATGAGAGTTTCAGATTGGGTAAAAAGGATCTAGAAGGGTTCCTTTACAGGGATCTATAAGGGCTCTATAAGGGGGTAGGGTTACTTAAAGGGTCATGGGCCTCAGTAACTCGGGTTATAATCAAGGTAACTATCCTTATAATTACTCAGCTCCATGATCCCCCAGGTATTGGAGATCTAACCTCGACACCCATTCCACAAGCCCTGAGCGATGTCCGCCTGCGAGTAGTAGTCATATGCCTCCTGGTACCTGGCCAAAGGGCGTTGTTCAGGGGTTAGGGTCAGGGTTGAAGGATTTAGGGTTGAGGGGTTTAGGGCTTAGGGTTTTAGGGTTGGGTTTAGGGTCCAGGTTCAAGGTTTTGGAATATGCGGGCTCGAGTGCTACTTTGGGTAACAGTAGCAAACCACGGCAATCTGTGATATAAGGGCCTCAATGATTGGAATAAGGTTTTGGGGCCCATTATGCTGTAAATATAAGAAGAACCCCCCCCGATACAACAAAAAGAGAAAACAGTTATAGCTAAGCATTTAAGCCCCTATAGTACAGAGTCTGCAGGATAAACATGGCGAGTGTTCCGGGGTCCTTCTACACGGGCTTTTGGAACAGTAAACCCCGAAACCCTATACGCGCTTCCTCAGATCCCAACGACAAGGGGAATGTACCCTCTGGCAATCATAATAAATTGAGTAGGGACCGGGGAAATGTATTTACAGAAAATTAATAATCATACCACCCCCAAACCCTATTCTAATTAGTCATCCACCGATCCTGTCTTCATCAACTACGATATAGGTTTCTCCTGGTCGCAAGCCTAGCAGGGCTGCACCAGCATACAGACTGGAAGCACTGCAGTTCTACTCAGCAACCCTCATTGCCCAGACCTGACTCGAAAGGAAAACCATTCCGTAAGTAGGTGCACAGTACTTGTGGCCACAAGCAAACGTCAAAAACAGTACTGCCCCGCCCCCCTCCATTATTTCATGGTAGCACCTACATATTTTAACCATTACAGACCATAACCCTCAACGCCGTGGGTAGAATCTTACTTCCCCAATAAGACACAGAAATCAAAGGTCAAACTGTTCCCTTTCCTACTCAACTATAGGAACCCGAAGAGTTTAAAGGTTGGGTACTGGGGATCTAAGCACTTGCGCTGAGAAGCGCAAACAAATTCCTAGACCTAAGTGTAACCTAGGAATAAAAAGGGTGCCCTTTTTGGTTTCAAGGGGATTATAATGGAACCTGAACCCTAAAAAAGGGAATAAGGGCCTACTCTGGGTCCTAGATTCCCCTTTTCTTTGGGAGAGCCTGCCAGCTGCAAAGGCTGAATTGCCAGCGTCCTCCAAGAAGCATTGGCTTCGAGGCATCGTGGCTCCAAGCCCCTAAACCCTAATTCCCTCAACTCTAAACCGTAAATACGGCATCAGGGGCCTACCCTAAACCCTAAACCCCTGGACTCTAAACCCGAAAGCAAGCATCAGAGGTCTACGTGTGTACGTGTTGTTCTCAAGGGTCTCTTGGTTTCGGATGTGGCCAGGGTCGGAACGACGCGCTGCTAAGTTCGGAATATCGAGAGTCTTAGGGTTGATGAAGGGATCTACTTGTGAGGTCATTGAGGGTCTATGTACTCTTAACCCAACTTTAGACAATCTATGTGCTTAGACTCTGTTTGATGGAGGCAAGAGAAGCTAGGGTTGATAATATACAACCTGCATTACCCATAAAAAGGAATATACCATAATTCCGATAGTCTAGGGTCATTAAGATAAAGCTGCAGGATTTATATCATCAACCTAAACCCTAAACTCTCAAACCCTATAGATCCCGTAAAGGAACCCTTAAAAGGTTAACCTTATAGTTCCACTTTTAAAACCCGGTAGAGGTTTGGGTTCTCGGCCTTCAGATCGGGGCTTGAGGTTGACGCGTTCGGGTAATTCTCAGACTCACTTCGGCGACGGCTGTCTTGTGGGGCTCGCACTCGCTCTATGTGCTTTCATTATTGTTGTTATTCTTATTCTCTCTCTCTCTCTCTCTTTCTCTCTCTTTCTCTCTCTCTCTCTCTCCCTCCACTCTCTCTCTCCCTCCACTCTCTCTCTCTCTCTCTCTCCCTCTTTCTCTCTCTCTCTCTCTCTCTCTCTCTCGGGCTCTCTCGTCTATATGTGCATATATTAAAATGTGGGTACCATATTTACATCGATGTTTCTACACATGTGTACAAACTCATATTCTACACATAATGTACACACCGTAATTTATGAACATATCCTTTTTGGTGAGTGTCTGCGACTGCCAGAACGGCGTTGTCTTACCTTGATTGGAAACTGGGCAGTGGCAGCACGGGGCGCTTTGCACCATAAGTGTATGAGAGACTCGGGAGAATACCCAGAGGGTCCATATATTAGGGGTTTAGGGTATGGGGGCTTAGGGTTTAAGGATTTAGGGTTTTAGGGTTTAGGGCTAGAGGGTCCTTATGTTACTACCAGTATGAAATTAGGCTCCCAGATCCATAATAGGGATGGTCTTTTGGGACCCAATTCCACAATGGTAGCATATACGGACCCTGTGGGATAGCTCTACTCAACGTTGATGCCACTGTTTACGTCCAACTCTGAGAACTCTGCGTCAGGGATCACGGGACATAACAACTGGGCTCAACAACAAGGCAACAATGTTTATAACTGCTTATAAACCCCAAACAACCTACTTATTACCTCTATGCCTCACCCCTTTAGAACCATAATAACCAATAAATTCAATATTCTCTTGGGATTTATATGAACAAAACTCACAAATCCTAAGGAGGCGATAGACCTTACTTCCTAAGCTCAATGATCCTCGAAGCATAACTACGCTTGGGGCTTCGTGGGGCGTACTTCGAGGATCATGGGACTTACTAAGTAAGGTTATAGCTTAGGTACGGCCCCCATACAGCAAGAGTCTATAATAGGGCTACTATTCAGGTCTTACTATACCTATATTATGAATATTATTCCACTATTACTGAGTGGGGGCCGTACCCAAGTTATAGCCCTAGTTACGAAGTCGCATGACCCTTTACGTAGGGTTCAAGGCTGAGTCAGCATGCGCAGCTCTGATTTTTGGGGCTTCATGTTTAGGAACTAGTGCTAAGGGTTCGCAAACCCTAAAAGCTAAACCCTAAACCTAACCCTAAACTCTAAACCAAACCCTAAACCCTAAACCAAAGCCTAAACCCTAAACTGTGGCCTACTCGACTTGGAAAACTAGTCTTGGAGATGAAGAACAGAGCTCAGGACACCTCCAAACCTATCGCAAGGGCGGGTTTAGGGCCCCAAAAAAAGCATTAAAAGCAAAAATCAGGAGATGGATATCACATATAAATCCATGTCCCCTTATAACGAAGCCCAATAAGGTGCTTTTTGGGTCCCTAAGGGTTGAAAGGTTTTGGCAGGGCTGTTCTTTATAGATCTCTGAACCAAAAAGGCCAGATGGGTTCAATCTAGGGGCCTTATCAGTTAGAGCAGGGTTGAGAGGTATCTAATAGTATAGTCTTCAGTAAGGAGTATTTGGGCTTCTCTGGTGCCTTCCTGCAGGAAGTCTAGAAGGAAGGCGTGTAGGGCTCTGCCCATGCTCCTGAGAACCCTAAACCTAAAAAGCTGTAAAGCCCCACATATTCCTAAACCCGGAAATCCTAAAGCTCATAACCCTTAAAACCCGAACACAAACCCTCAACTGTCGACTCTAAACTCTACTTCCCTTAGCAGGGACAACGCTTGGAAAGCCCTACAATCCTTCCTAACCTTGAGGGCTCACAGCAAACTAAACCCCTAAAACCTATTTGAACTTAAGTGGCAATCTCGTATTTCTTCGATTCGAGACCATCGGGAGGATCTAACAAGCAGAGTAAGGGGGTGCCTACAAAATACCCTTTACTGAAAGGGTCATGGAACTTGGTAACCAGGGTTGTAATTAAGGTAACTATACTTCTAGTTACTTATAGCCCCAGTTAAAATACGTATAACCCTGCTTACTAATTCCCATGATCCTCCAAGTAGTAGCTAGGGTCCCAGATTAGGGCTTCTACTTGTTAGATCCTCCTGGCAGTCCGGGAAAAAGCTTAGTTGCTGAGTTCATAAGCCCCCCCCCCCCCCCCCCCCCAAAGTATACACTTTTAGTGTTATAGTGGGTAATCTTATCCCAAAAAGTGTAAAGTGTATTTACTCAGCTGCTCAGAAAGGGGGGGGGTTGGGCGAGGGCATGAGGCCCGAAACCTTCGCCACGGTCCTTTGCCGGGGTGGCCAGGGCGTTGCATGTCGGCCTTGGATTTTGGGGTTTGTGCTGTAGGCCTAAATCTACAATTTCAGCCAAGTTTTGGGGCCATATTTATATTACACTACAAGTACCTGGGGACTTTCAGTATAAGCAAAACGTGTTAATGGCTCTTCACGGCGGTTTAGGGCAATGGCTTTCAACAAAAACACCACATACATGGTGGGTTCTCAATCAAGATAATGCACGGGTGCCTTGTAGCATCCGGGGTTCCTCATGATGACCAACTACTTCGGGCCGCTTGTTGGGTTTCCGGAACTAGGCTTGGGCTTGGGACTATGCCCACTACTGTTGATGGACAAAATCCTGCATGACCCTAAGGACTCTAAACTATGGGAACCATGGTATATTCCTTATACTGGGTAATGCAGGATTTTGTCCATCAGCAGTATGTTGGGTAGCTTGTTGCTTTCACAGACCCGCGGGAGGCTCCAAAAAGGTCCAGCCACGGAGCTGACTGTCAATCTGCACCCATGCCCAAGAGGGCAGCACATCAAAGCTGCCGGCTGTAAGGCCCAAACCCTGAACCACACGCCCCTAAAACGTAAACAGCCCAATGCCAGAAAATCTTTGATGCAAACCCAGACCCGCGGGCAGGATCGAGAAAGCTAATTTGGGGCTATACTACTAAGGGTACTTTATAGGAACCCCCATTGAGGGATCTACTTTTTGGATCCTCCCGGGGGTCTGGGTATCCAGGAGCCCTTGACGCCTTCAAAAAAGCCACCCCCCAAAAACGCATCTTACCATGAACTAAATGTCTGTAAACGGAGGTTTTTTGGGGGGTGCAGTCTTCGGTTGGATCCTTTAAGGGGTTCTTTAACGGTTCCTGTAAGGGCCCCTGCAAGGTTTCCCTTAAGGGGCCTGCGTGGGAAACTGAAAGACTAGGCTGGTGGCAGATTGCAGGGACTGGCTTAGTCTCTTACGTGTTCAGGTTGTTTTTAAAGTGCAATGGGGCCTTTTCTCGCAGAAAGTTTAGCCGGTTTCGGCCTGCACTAAAACAGGTAGTGTTCAGGGTTCATATCGTAGGGTTGAGAGATTGGGGTTCAGGGCGAAAGGTTGTGGCTTAAACTTTATGGTTTTGACAGGTCTTCCCTGAACTCCAAACTCTAGTCCATCCCTAAAGACCCCTGGATTTCGTCCCCACTTTGTCGTTTTGGGGACGTCTTCCCTAAACCCCAAGGACCCTTGGGCTTCCTCCCTACTATAGTGCCCCAAAATTGAAAAACACAACAGCAAAACTAAGGATAGGGATATCCCATATACCCCCCTTATAACGAAGCCCCAAAATGCAAGGATATCACAATAAAAATGCTTTTACTTATGTCCTGTTTGGGTCCCAATATTAAGTTCCTGGCGCATCTGCCATCTTCGCGAGCAGGCGCGGGGGCAGCGTCAAACGGCCTACTTGAGTTGACCCACAAGGGTAGCCTCACCACTCTGGACAATGACATGTGAAGCAGTAAAGCTCCACACCATCCTAAACCCCAAACCTGTGCTGCGCATGTCGGAACACTTCAATCGGCATCGTACACCGATACCAGAACTCTACTCCCCTTGGAAGGTAAGCAAAAAACTACTTTTTCGGAGACCCCTATAAAAGAAGACCGGAACCAAAAAAGGAACAAAGTAACAAAGTCTCCAAGAGCCTTAAAGAGAACCCCTGCCTTAACTATTGCGTGGGCTGATCATGGCTCAACCTTTGCAGCTCAGCCGGCGTTCGTCGGCTACAGTCTTGAGCCAATGCAGCGAAAGCAGGGATGTCCTTTTACTTAAACGGAACATGCATGGCCCTATGCTTTCTCATAGGAAACGGAACATTTCGGAACCATCTAAGGCTGGTATCTTAGCCGATGTGCTTGGTGAGTGATCCTGCACTTCTAAACGGGACAACCTGGCCGCACTGTTCCTACTTCCTTTCAACGGCCCGGACAAGGGCCGTTTAGTTGACCCAGACACTTTGAAGGATCTGGAAACAGAACCCCTAAAATGGTTTAGGGGTTGGGGTCTAGGGCGTCTAGGGTTAATGGATCTAGAAGTCGCGCCGCTGATAGGAGGCGTACGTTGATGAGGTTGAACCCTGGCTGGCTATCACACGGGAATTCTGTGGGGCTGGGAATAGGGCCGAGACAGAACACGGATACTTCCTTCGCCCTACTGTGGCAATGCAGCTTAGGTTCCTTGGCGGCTCGACATGGAAGCGCATCTTAGTGCTTAGCCTTTGGGGCTTACCCTGTTGGGTCTGATGAATCAGTACGCCTAAGCCCCAAGAACACCCTATGCACAAGCTCCCTGACCTCCACCGCATGGTCTTGTAGGACAACAACCAATAGAACAACCAGTGCCGACCAAACAGAACAAAGAGCAACAAATAGTACATGATTGAAACAAGCTTCAAGTCACACATAGCAGACATACCACAAGCCAAAAACTAAACCCTCCTAAACCCTAAACCTCTAAGTCGTAAACCGGTACATCCTGAACCCGACATGCTAGCAGCAACAACCGAGGACACATTGGGTGCGCCGGCCGAAGTCGGTGGAATGTCGGCTTGAGCTCCGCCATGTTTGTTGTGCCTCTCTGGCTGCTTACCAGGCCTAGGGCGATCCGACGCTAACAAGTGTATGCATACGTACACACATGTACACACATATGCAAACAAACAAACAAACATACATACGTACATACATACTTACACACATATGTGCACATATATATATATATATATACATACATACATACGTACATCCATGCATATACATACACACATACGTACATAAATACATAAACACATACAAAATATACGTTACATTACATACATACATACACACATACATACATACATACATACGTAACGTACGTAACATGGTAACATACACATCATACATAACATACGTACACACACACATACATACATACATACATACGTACACACATACATACACACATACATACACACATACATACACACATACATACACACGTACATACATACACATGCACATGCACATGCACATACACTTACGCATACACGCACACATACGCATACACACATACACACATACACATACGTATATGTATACGTATCGGTATACATATACATACACATACACATATGAACATACATATACATATACTCATATACATACACACGCGTACATACCTACAATTACCTACATACATTCTCACATACATCCGTACATACATACATGCATGCATACATACATACACGCGTTACATACGCAAATGCATACATACATACAGACAGACAGACATACATACAAACAGATAGATACATACATGCACGCATACCTACCTACCTACCTACCTACCCAACCCTTTTTCAACCCCCATGGGATCCCCTTTGCAGGACCCTATATTAGGGTCCTGAAGCTTAGATCCCTTTAAAGCAACCCCTTCCAAAACCTCTTATGGGTCCCCTTGAAGGACCCCATATTAAGGTCCTAAAGCCTAGATCCCTTTAAAGGAACCCTTGTGAACCCCTTTGGATCCCCTTAAAAGGATCCTATATTTAGGTCCGAAAGAATAGATCCCTTTAACGGAACCCTCCACGTCGACACCTCCCCGGCGCTGGGCGGCGGCGGTGCGGGAAGCGGCCAGGGAGAGTCGAAATCGACCGGGCGGTGGCTGTCGTACCTTAAAGGGCTTAGGGTGAATTTTTACTGTTTTTTCAAGGAGTTTAGGGGCTTAGGGGTTGAGGGGCTTAGGTGTTGAGGGGTTTAGGGTTTGGGGGTTTAGGATTTTGGGTTTGGGGTTTCGGGTTCAAGGGTTCCGTTTAAGGGGTCTATGGTACCTGAAAGGGTTCGGGCTTTCGGGGTCCTTTTAAAGCTTCCTTTTACGGGGTTTATGCTACCTTAAGGGGTTCCTTTTAAGGGTTCCTTGACGGATCTATGGTACCTTAAAGGGTTCCGGTTGACGAGTTTAGGGCTTGGGGGTTGGGTAGCTTAGGGCTCAGGGATTTACGGTATGCCCTCAACCCTACAACTATAGGGGTTCCTTACAGGGTTCCTGTTGAGGCTCCGTTAGGATTACCTTAAAAGGTTCCGTTTATGGGCTGAGGGCTTACGAGTTTAGGTTAGGGGTTTAAGGGTTTAAGGGCTTAGGGTTTAGGGGTGCTGTTAGGGTTTAAATTCAAATTCAAACGGGTTTCTTTCAAACGGCTGCGTTTAAAGGCTGTCTCGATCGGTAGGGCTTACTGGCTTACTACAACTCGTTTAGGGTTCAGGGTGCTTCTTTGCAAAGGGGCTGGTGTACCTAGATCTTCCATTAAGCAATATTCAACGTACAAGCAGATTACAGTATTACAGCAGGATCCCTAAGATGATTGAGCCTATGTGACCTGACCCGTGGGACCTTGCGGGCTTTTCGGTCGATGGTTTTGGATTCCAGGATGTAGGAAGACTGTTGATGATCTAAATCCTGCATTACCTTAAGGACCCCAAATATGGATCTATAATAGAGATCTATAATAGGGGTCTAAAATACTGTTGATGATCTAAATCCTGCATTACCTTAAGGACCCAAAGCTATGGGAAGTATGGTATGCCTAAACCCTAAACCCTAAACCCTAGACCCTAATATTGTGGGCAATGCAAGGTTTATATCATCAACCAGGGCTCCTCAGGCTCCGGTTTTAGAGTGTAGGTTCCAGGCTTTTCTGGTCTATGTCTCTGGCCTCAACCATGAAAAACCTACCTTTTTAGGGCTCCTTATTATATCAATCCTTAAAAAGGTGGTAAGCCTAAAGCGATAAGCTTTTCAGCGGTGGACGTTTGTTGGAATAAATCGCTTGGGAAGATGGTCGAGCCTGATGCAGAAGATGTAGAGCGACGGGTGACCGCATTTTTAGGGTTTAAGGTTCAGTATTAAAGGGGCCCCAACAAAAAGCTTCAAAAGGGGTTTTGCTGCATAGTCTAATATCACTAAGGAACCGCTCACAAGATACACGTAATTTTGGAAACCCTTGTA